TTGAAATGCAGCATGAGATCAAGGATAAACCAAAGTCTCTAAGATGAAGCCAGTGGAAGGAAGTGGAAACACACCAGCTTTCTGTGACTCTGCAGCTGCTGGGTGGTTGATCTCCAGCCTCCTGGCAAGTTTAGAAAAAAATATTTCCATCCATGTTTGGGGGTGGGGAAAGAGCAGGGGTGATCCTTCCTGCTTTTCAGCTCCACTGTTGGAAAGAAGCCTCCGGCTTGCTGCACTCTCTAGAGCCGTGGTTCCCAACATGGGGCACACGCCCCACAGGCGGGCAATTTGATTTTTAGGGGGGGGCAATTCGAGAATGAGTTATTAACAGTTAATGGCCTTTAGGCTTCCTCCATGTGAACAGGAGTTCACTTTTTGAATAGGTAAAAGGTAAAGGACCCTGGACGGTTAAGTCCAGTCAAAGGCGACTATGGGGGTTGCAATGCTCATTTTGCTTTCAGGCCGAGGGAGACGGCGTTTGTCCACAGACAGCTTTCTGGGTCATGTGGCCAGCATGACTAAACCGCTTCTGGTGCAATGGAATACCATGATGGAAACCAGAGCACACGGAAACGCCGTTTACCTTCCCACTGCAGTGGTACCTATTTATCTACTTGCATTGGCGTGCTTTTGAACTGCTAGGTTAGCAGGAGCTGGGACAGAGCAACAGGAGCTCATCCCATCATGGGGATTCAAACTGCCAACCTTCTGATCAGCAAGCCCAAGAGGCTCAGTGGTTTAGATCACAGTGCCACCCAGGTTCCCACTTTTTGAATAATAAGAATTATATGTAATGGGGGCGGGGGGTTTCAGGATTTTAGTGATGCTTAGGTGGGGCATGGCCAAAAAAAGGTTGGGAACCACTGCAAGTCTTGTTGATCCCTCTGCATAGTGAGGCTGGCAAACAAGACTGTTGCTCATGTATCTAAAAGTCTTGCATTAAAAAGAGGGAACAACTGTATTGAGGCCTCATCCTATGGATGTCTGTGCAAGGCAAAAGCCCAGAAGATCTGGATTCAGTGTTGTGACATGCTATTCCCTTCTACTAATACATACCTTTCTGTCCTGTCTCAGACCAATGGAACTGCATTTGTGCAAGACTTATGTCAACAGTGTTGTTTGTATTAGACGGGTCTTTCACCCACTGTTTACGTCCATGCTCTTGGGCAACCAAATGATTATCAATATTAATTTGAAAATATCAGCATAGAGTCCCAGAGTCCCAATTACCTGTCTGGCTACACTTCTTTTATGTAGTGTGCCAACAAGTCTGCACTAGTTGTAGCAATGACTCCCTGCACATCAGATAAGCTGCAAAAAGCAGGAAGTTGTAAAGTCTAGTCCACAAGGTAGGTTCATCATGCACATTATCAACTCAAGGACAGGATAAAGTCACATCAGCTCAGCAACAGAATGCCAAAAGCACAAGGTGTTTTGCACAAGGATCTTAGCAGAACAGGTCAGAAAGCAAGTCAGAAAGATGGGAAAGGATACAGATTTAAATTGCAGCCACATAGCTTTAGGAAAGGTTAAAGGAAATCTTAAAACAGAGACTATGATCTAATAAATTTGTGAAGTATCCTTCCCTGAAGGTTTATAAAAGGATACCAAACAAGCAAGTGAAATGTTTCCAAGTATAGGATTAGACAATATGACTTTTATAATGCATTTTATTTTGTGTTTTTTATGATCATAAGGATCAGTTGGTGGCAATGTTAGAGGCTCCATTCTCTATGAAAAATACAGCATTAACTTCCACTAAAAGAAAATACTTCTTTAAATAATTTAAAAAGTGATGAATGTTTTAAGAATACTTTCATTTATGTGCAGCATCCGTGAAAGCTGACAAACCAATTGCACCAGAAGAAGGAAGGTGTCCTCATATAACAGGGCACTTTGGGTTTTGACGTGACTTACAAGCCCATCTTTGAAGCCAAAATAAGGAAATGTGTTTTCCAACACTTTGCTTCATTCAGAATGCTGTCTTCAGACGGTCACTATTTTGTGAGAGGGAATCTAGCGTATACTGGAACTTCAGATTTGGGCAGCTCTGTTGCCCTAGCACAAAAAAAATCCACTTTAGAAAAGAATCAGATTTTGTGTGTGTGTGGTTTGGAAAGTGATGGGGAAACAAACTAAAAAGTGTGGGAAGTGGAATAAATACAAGATGAATGCGGGAGAAGTGTTCATTGTATAACCACCCTGCAAACCAGTTAGAACAGATGCTACGTAAAGACCAGGTAATTGGGATGAATGCTCAATAAGCAGGTCATATGGAGGGACTCGTACACAAGATATTGAAATTAGGGAGCCCTGCTCAGAGGGTACTCCTGTTGGTTGGAAAAGGGTGCAGCTTTTGCAAACTCCCAGTCAAGACCACACACCTCCTCCCATATTGCAGACCCTCTGGAACAGTGTGGCAGTGGTGTTGGGGGCTGTAATAATAATAATTTTAAATAATAATTTATTACTTGTACTTTTCACATCTGGCCGGGCCTCCCCAGCCACTCTGGGCAGCTTCCAACAGGATATTAAAAACACAATAAAACTTCAAACATTAAAAACTTCCTTAAACAGGGCTGCCTTCAGAAGTCTTCTAAAAGTCAGATAGTTGCTTATTTCCTTGACATCTGATGGGAGGGCATTCCACAGGGTGGGCACCACTACCGAGAAGGCCCTGTAGCGGCAGAGAGGAATTGGCAAGCATTCCCTCTCACCACTAGCAGTATCACTATGGTGGATTGCAAAATGTTTGTGGATGGAAGGTGCTTGATCCAATAAAATATCTCAAACAGGCTTCAAAACAAGTGTGGCATCCATTCTACATTCATACGGTCCTGGCATTCACTGCCCTTCTGCACCACCCACACGGAGCAGTGTTCCTTGGTCCTTCAAGGACTAGAGCAAATTCCTTGTTTTGTGCCACATCTTTAGAGAAGATGCCTTCCGCCCTGTTCTGCTGCCATTGCATGGAGCTGTACAGGAAATCATGCTCAGCGATACCACCCTCCGTTTACACATGTTCTGTTTGCCATCCCCAAATGGGGATGTGCTGTTCTGCTTTCAGCTGAAGAACATTTCTCCATACCACACAAGTAGCTGCGGGCTTCAAGCTTCTCAGATTCTTGATGGCTCCCTTCCAAAGGTTTCTTATGACAGCTAGAAATCTCTTCATGTCCCTTGGATCTTCTTGCACTCCCACAAAGAGCCACCTGCTCCATTTTGGAGCACACTGGGATTAGCTGAGTGACAAAAGCAATTATTCTGCAGTAGATGAATGGGTTTTAGTGGACAACTGGCAAACATAACAGAAGGACTTGTACTGTCACCTTAACTAGAGATGTGTGAATTCCTACATCACGATCCCATGCATAGCCCAAATCTGTCCCTTGTCCCATTAGAAACATACATAATTTTTATAGGATTTTAAGCTCTCTGAATATTTACTGACCAGTATTATTAACATTTTCATCCATCCCCACCCCTAGGTCTGGTACTAAGCTGCTAGTTGTGTTGCTCATTACAACTCCCTCATATCACCAGTTTCAAGAGTGATTGCCTATAAAACACTAAGGGACAATTAGTGATTTCTGTTTTGCCCACCTCTAAATGGTAAAGTCTGCCATTGTGGGAGAACCAGCTCATGTATGGTTCTGATAGCTGGCAGGCTTCCTCCCTCTCCGAAGGGGTGACCATGCCTGCAAAATGCATCCAATTATGACAGGGAAAATGTCACAGACTTTTTCTTTAACAACAGAACACCCCCCCCGCAACAAAACTTTAATGAAAACACTGGAAGGATCTGCTAGCAATTTAGCAGGTTTAATCCCTCTGGAGGAACTCCTTTGCCTGCAAATTTCATACACTTATGTGAAAAGGAAAAAAGTTATACCCATTTTTAGATTCCGCATGGGAAGAGCGAGCTCGAGATTTAACAACGCTGATACAGACCCTAATAACAACTCAAATTAGAATGATACAGTGCTACAGATACAAGGCAAATCTTGTGGCCAGTGCACACCCCTATCTTTTATTAAGCAGATATCTGACATATTCCCTTTTGTTGGGAGAATGGGACTTTTTACTTGGCCAAATATAGGTGGTTTGCTGCTATAGTAGCTAATTGTTAAAGATGGCACATGGAAGCAGCTGCATCAGAATAATGTTACAGTACAAAAAATATATCTTTCTGTAGAACTCAAGACTATTAATTAATTTGCCACAAAAACTGATGGTGCATATAAGATGGGAGGGCCAAATTTAGGATGCCAGAATATTCCAAACTCATACATAAATTAGAATTTAGATAATTTATCTGAGATCCCGAGGGTTAACCTTAGTTATCCTCTGAAGGTATCTTTCCATATATTGCTGTGGCTTGAGCTACTTGGTATGGATTTGCATGAATGAGAAACAACTTAAACAATTTTCATTATTTTAGCTATTTACTTGGGAGTAAAAAAGAAGAAGTGGTCTTTCCACATGAGGTTTTATCAAGAAGTTCCAGTGCACTTCTGGATATTGATTTATTGCCGCTTAGACGTAGCTAACGTTTCAAGTAATCCATACTGGTTTAAATTTACATTGGGTCTTTTAATAAAACCACTTGCACCCTGGGGATTTTTCAAAGGGATAAACACCCAAGATTAATCAGCCCAGGCACAGTATGTCGTTAACGTTTAAGCACTGTTCATTGCATGTATTAGTGTGTGTGTGTGTGTGTGTTAATAAAATGAACACAACTCTTTAGCCTCCCTATTAAATAGCCATTGAACAAATGCTTCATTCAGGACACAATCCTATGGTTCTATGGAGAGAATCCCGGGGATCATAAAAGTTTGTGGATCTCCTTCCCTATAGGTGGAAAGGGATATCAGTGGGTGGAGCCAGAGGTCCACTCATAAAACATTCTTTGTGCAACTTTGGACGTGTGATTATGGCTGCACTGTTGGTAAATGAGAGCAGAAGGAAGGGGAAAGGTGTGTGTCAGGGACATATGCATATGTGTATGTGTGTGTGTGTGTGTGTGTGCGTGTGTGCGCGCGCGCGCACACACACACACACACACACGTGCATGTGTTTAGAAGGTTGTCCCTGTTCTAGAACATGACAGCCCTAAACTTGCAGAATCAGAATGAAAGACTTTCTCTGCCATTCATCTGGAAGTAGAGTCACTGTGGCAAAGTGGAATAAGATGCTGAGTTTAGATTCTGGTATGCTCTTGAGCAGAACATGTATGACCTTGAAATAAATTAAAAAATTAAAAAAATGTCCAGTAGCAGCACTGGGTATAAGCTTTCGTGTGCATGTACACTTCTTCAGAAGCAAGAGATAGTATGGAGAGACCTGGTCTGAATAGAGATATTGTATTCTTGTCTCATTACATATGCTAAAGCTATTTTTGGTCATCTGCATACTATCCCTTGCTTTTTCCTGTAGGACTAATTGCAGTCGTTAACAGTCGTCAACAGGTTTACCATACCCATTGAGTCAATCACCCATCTCCTACTACCATTCTGAGAAAAACCCCACCCCACCCTTCCCACCATATATAAGGGCCTGGTGACTTCTGTTTCAGTGTATCTGAAGAAGTGTGCATGCAAAAGAAAGCTTATACCCAGAACAAACTTAGTTGGTCTCTAAGGTGCTACTGGACTATTCTTTTTTATTATTATTATTCTTTTCTACTGTGTCAGACCAACACGGCTACCTATCTGAATGTATGGCCTTGGTCAAACCAAATCACCATCTTCATCACAACATCTTGCTGGCTCGTTGTGAAGATATGTGTGTGAAGAGAGACAACATAATATAGTTGTTAGAATATCAAACTAGAACTAAGGAGACCTAATAATAGATCTTAGCCAGGGAAGAATGGTTTATTTTGCTGTTTCAAAAGAACACAACAAGCTAAGCATCCATTTCCCCCAAGTGGATGTCTTGCATTTGTTGTGGAAGTTGTGAAAAGATGTTTAAAATGGACTGTTCCTCTAGCAAAGCCACTATGATTTTGACCTACCATTAGCTAGGCAAATCTAACAGTTCACATTAATATCTGTGTCTGCTTGCTAAATATCAAAACAATTACATAATAGAATGCCAGTGGTGTCTCTGTACTTTATCTGCAGCAGTGACATAACTGCCTTTTATGCAGCTCACTGAAATTGGAGATTTATTGCTTCTTCTTTTTTCAAAGGGCCATTACCATGTAATTTTAACTTACTCTTATTAAAGGGCTTACATCATAAGCAATTACTGGAGAAAACCTTGGAGCATAGATTTATTCAAAATTTTATAGCATGATTAATTTGAGTGTGATGCCATACATAAATCACATCTGAAGGAAATGAGAATCCACCAAGGCCAGATCCTGTTATCCTTTGTTCTGTAGCGTGTGCCAGTGAAATCATTGGGGGTGTCTGTGGAGTAAAACAAACTCCACAAACACATTTGTATGATCCTACAGTCCTATTCCTAATTACAGTACTTGCCTTGGAGAAAGCCACATTGAATTCAATGAGATTTACTTCTGAGTAGGCATGTATAGGACTGTACAGCAAAAGTTGCAGGACCTTCCAAAATGTTCATATAATCAAGGGTGGGAATTTAATATTAACATAAAGTCACCTGGAAGAAGGAGAAGGGCAGTGTGTTTTGAATTAAGACAAAAAGCAATGTGTAGTGTACTCACTAAATTCATGAATGTTTACTTTTAAATTCATTCTAAAATGGATTGCATTCACAAACAATTCAATGTATATTTGAGTTGATTAAGTGATTCCACAAATGCATATTGAACATCAACTGAAAAAGCATTGGAGGGGAAAGGTACATTCATACATTCTGTGGGCCTTTTGATGCAGGCATATGATATATTGGAATAAGGAGAATTCAGCATAACAAAGCTCCATCACTAGTGAAGAAGAATAAGCCTTCTGCACAAAGATATAATTTTATCATAACAAAGTACAATAAATTCTGCTTTCGTTTAGCATTTCTAGCCTTGCTTACACAGCTGTCCCAGCTCATAATTGCTACTTGGTACATCTCTATATTCAACCATTTCCATTTTAGCTGCCAATCACAAAGCCAACATGTTCCACTATGACATCCATCTGCAGTGTATCTCTCTTTAAATAGTGGCTGGTCTGCAGGCAGGAAGCAGTGATGAAAGCTGACAATATGGATTTAATAATTCAGCATGCAAAATAATCTGCTGTCCAGTGAAAAATCAGGATTTCAGGTGTCTCTTTTTTATTTCATGCCATGCATTGGCTCCACCTGATTTTAAATTGCATTCTATCTACTATTCCAACATCTATATCCTGTCATCTGCATTTGAATGAATCACCTACTTACATAATGTAATATTCAACAGAAGAAACCAACTCAGTCTTGCAGAAATGTTTCCTCCTGTATTTTCAACATGTAGAATTTGAAAAGTAATTGCACAGCCCTTAAAGTGACATATTGCCGTTTTAGTCGAAATAAAGGAAAGGCCCAATCCTTTGTGAGTAATTCTACTTAACATAAATGAAATATTTTAAGGGAATATCTTTTGCATTAAGTACAACTTTTCAGGTTTGAACCCTGTGTATTGATTTTTCTCAACACTCACCAGTCCTTGAACAAACACAGCACTCAGCAATGCTGTGGTCACAAATTTCCTGAACACTAAAATGAAATAAAGATAGTAGAATGAAACAGGACACCCATATTTGACAACAGTTCAAAACCAGATGCCTGTTGCTTGTGGCTCTTGTCAAGACATGGTTTTTATATGTTCAGGTTAGAATTCTGGTGAATGTTGACCTTTGCATGCAATTCATATAAGGTGAGAGTTTCTGGTAAATGTCCGATTCTGTAATGGGAAAATGCTGATAAAATTTCTCTGTTCTCAGCTGCTCTCAGTGGCAAATGTTGCTAATGCCAGTTTGCATCTAAAGACATGGCCTTCTGCAAATAGCAGGATTCCTTCCATTTGTGGAGGAAGCTCTGATCTAGTGGAAAGTTCCACTGGAGGTGGAGGCGGCAAGGGTGGTGATTTTTGCTGATTCCACTTTCCCTTGGCAGCCCCCACTGCCTCCTTTCATGCTGTTGCAAAGGGTCTCCCAATCCTCTGGCTTTTCAGGATCCACAGAAGGCTGAAGGGAGAATCCGCAAAAATTGTCTCTCCAGCTTCCTCCTGTGAAGCACCCTGTGAACAGAACTCCACTCATGAGAGAGCAGGATACAACCCATGACAATTTTCTAGGATTTCTTGCTTACTGGCTAAAAAGATAGTAACAACTGGTAGATGTCAACAGCCACCAGATATGTATAAATTATGCTTATTTAACTTTAACTTGTCAAGACAGCTTTGTTTTAACTCATATTATATAAATGTCTCCATCTTTTAAGCAATGCTTTCACTTCAAGTGATCTGTTTTTCTGCTTTACACCCATGAGACCCATTTTCTCTCTCTCCCTGACATAAATGGGAATATTGGCAGCAAACTTTGTGACACAATCAGCTTGGGCCTATTATTCTCACGCTGTAAACAAAACACAACAATACACGTAAATTTTTACGATTATTTACTGCTTGCTTCCTAGGACCATAAATATAAGCTGTTGAGTAATTAATTGCTTAAAATTCTACAAGGAAGGCTCAAGCAGTATGTGGACCAAGAACTCTCAGAAGTGCAAGCTGGATTTAGAAGAGGCAGAGGAACCAGAGACCAAATTGCAAACATGCGCTGGATTATGGAGAAAGCTAGAGAGTTCCAGAAAGACATCTACTTCTGCTTCATTGACTATGCAAAAGCCTTTGACTGTGTTGACCACAGCAAACTATGGCAAGTTCTTAAAGAAATGGGAGTGCCTGATCACCTCATCTGTCTCCTGAGAAATCTCTATGTGGGACAAGAAGCTACAGTTAGAACTGGATATGGAACAACTGATTGGTTCAAAATTGGGAAAGGAATACGACAAGGCTGTATATTGTCTCCCTGCTTATTTAACTTATATGCAGAATTCATCATGCGAAAGGCTGGGCTGGATGAATCCCAAGCCGGAATTAAGATTGCCGGAAGAAATATCAACAACCTCAGATATGCAGATGACACAACCTTGATGGCAGAAAGTGAGGAGGAATTAAAGAACCTTTTAATGAGGGTGAAAGAGGAGCGCGCAAAATATGGTCTGAAGCTCAACATCAAAAAAATGAAGATCATGGCCACTGGTCCCATCACCTCCTGGCAAATAGAAGGGGAAGAAATGGAGGCAGTGAGAGATTTTACTTTCTTGGGCTCCATGATCACTGCAGATGGAGACAGCAGCCACGAAATTAATAGACGCCTGCTTCTTGGGAAAAAAGCAATGACAAACCTAGACAGCATCTTAGAAAGCAGAGACATCACCTTGCCAACAAAGGTCCGTATAGTAAAAGCTGTGGTTTTCCCAGTAGTGATGTATGGAAGTGAGAGCTGGACCATAAAGAAGGCTCATCGCTGAAGAATTGATGCTTTTGAATTATGGTGCTGGAGGAGACTCTTGAGAGTCCCATGGACTGCAAGAAGATCAAACCTATCCATTCTGAAGGAAATCAGCCCTGAGTGCTCACTGGAAGGACAGAACCTGAAGCTGAGGCTCCAATACTTTGGCCACCTCATGAGAAGAGAAGACTCCCTGGAAAAGACCCTGATGTTGGGAAAGATGGAGGGCACAAGGAGAAGGGGACGGCAGAGGATGAGATGGTTGGATAGTGTTCTCGAAGCTACCAACATGAGTTTGACCAAGCTGTGGGAGGCAGTGGAAGACAGGAGTGCTTGGCGTGCTCTGGTCCATGGGGTCGCGAAGAGTCGGACACGACTAAACGACTAAACAACAACAATTAATTGTCATTTTAAACTTAGGCCAATGCTCAAGTGTGTTCTGTATTAAAATGTGATATTAGGAAGGGAACAAAAATGGGAGGAATGTTTTACTAGGTACCAAGTATTCATGTGAAATTTATTTTAACGGCCAACTATTTACAGGAAATGTAAACTAAAGATACAGCTAGAATAAAAATGCTTGACTTAACACATGGACAGAGGTGA